TGCTCGGTTTGAACTGCAGGAGATTGTCTTGACCATGTCTACATGCCTAAATGCACTGAGTTGCCGCCATGTGATTGGCTGCTTAGAAATTAAGTGTTAACGAGCAGTTGGACAGGTGTACCTAATAAAGTGGCCGGTGAGTGTATATATATATATATATATATATATATATATATATATATATATGGTACTGATCAAATAAAGCAAATATGTTATTTCTGCCCTGTCAGTATTGACATTAGCACCAGATTTTCTCTTTTTTTTCCCCTATTCTCTCTCCATATGTTAAAGGAGAGAACAAGTGAGAACAGACACGGCAAATGAAGTAATCTTTGCTGTCGTGGCTTTCTCGTATTGTGGAACACTGAGCACTTAGCTTTACCTATTCTCTTTCATCGCTATGAAAACCAATCTGCTGTGATAAAGCCATCAACCGATATGGCACCGCTGTGTTTCTGGCTAACCGTTTCAATTTACCCGTTATCCAAAGAGACTCGCTCATGTCGGAGATAGACATAGGTTGAGGTAGACCACAAACTGTCTGTCAGAAATGAGATTACTAAAGGCATTCTATTTAATGATGTCTACTGGACTGAGGAAAATAAGAGATGTGTGTGGAGAAAATCAAATCACTCCCCATTCCTTGGTCCAGAATGGCTGCGACAAGATGGCCATACAACACAGAAATCTATCTAATGCAGCAGCTCTGCTTCTGCCCACAATGAGACTATCATTAGAGCAGAATATTATAAATACCTTTAAATTTACTTTAATGGGGGTTTATGTGCGATAAACGTCCGTATTGTGTAAAAACAGGTTGTATTGCTTCCGGCTCATGTCTTGTGCCTTGTTAAATATAGAGATGTTTTACTCTGGAGCAAGCAAAGATAAGCATAAACCCATATCCATCCATCGCATATGCAGATTAGAGTCTAAACGTTTTTATATTTCTTCTAAATCACAAACATTTAGATATTTAAATTGAATAAAATGGCAACAATAACAGGAGCTGGGTTAGCTGATTACCATAAAAGTCCATTTGCCCATCAGTTCAATTTGCAGTTAACATGTTCTCAGACAAGTGACGTTCAGAATAAAGCCTATTAATTGATCTTTTTTGAGATAATCCTCGTCACAAAAATGAAGGAAGAAAACTGAGAATACAACAGAGGTGCATCAATAGTCTTAGTCTCAGAGATGCCCACGGAAAACTCCCACTTCTTCTCCCCTGTGGCTGTTCACTTTACTTATTGGTCAAACTGTCTATATCTTCTAAATGGACAGTTCTTTTCCAGAGTAAACTGCAAACTGGATTTTGTCAGTTAGATAAGACACTTAAGATGGTGACACCACTGATGTTGCATATAATGATTATGTAAACAGAAATTCATCATTATGGTTTTATATGGTATCAGCTATTGGCATAATCCAATTGTTGACAATAAATGAAAGTGGAGTCATTAGTCTTCTTCTGAACGACATTAAACTTGATTAACTTGTGATTAAAACCAACCCAAAACAAGATATTAAACTTCAACAGAATATCAAGTTAACTAAATATTCTGCTCATTTGCAAGCACTAAATAAAGGGGCGAGTGGCGCAGCTCTTTGTAGAAGTGTACTGAAAAATAGTGGAGGGGTAAGGTATAGGACCATGGTGACAAACTAAATATAAGTCTGTTCCACAAGGATAGGCAAATCCCCATGAGCTCTGCCCCCCAAACCAGCCCTCAGCTCTAAGCTGATGTCATCCTGAGACTGGAGTGATAACCCTGGGGGAGCAGAGCGAGGGCAGGAAATGCTGTCATCACCAGGGTTGCCTTTCCCAAGCCGAGCAGATGAGCATTACACATGACTATCCTGATTTTCCTACTGTTACTCATTAATGAGTCTGAAGGACCGGGCGTATTTGATCTGGATTAAACCTGATAACCAGGTTACCTTACATCATGAGCACAGATTTGTGATTAATAGGAAGAGATATAAATAATGGCAAGCATTAATGCAAACCGCATGTGCAAATAGTGCTGGGAATATGTGATTAATCCTTTTTAGATAACACAGTAACATATTCAGTTTTTTAAAGGTCTATTGGTTTAGGAAATGTGAGTTATGTAAAAGCATCGAAATGTTACAGTAAATGTAAACTCTTTAGGGCTGAGGGCTCCATAGAAATGGTTGTGTAAATAGAACAGTCTTGCTGTCTTAAATATTATTTCTTTAAATTGAAATAATATAATATGATACTGTTCAAGAATTACTGTATTATTTTATTTTTAAATATTTCAAAATGTAATGGCAAAGCTGAATTGTCAGCAGCCATTGTTGGCACTCATAATATGCTTATTTGGGGCTCAAGAAACATATTTCAATGTTGAAAACACGTGCAGCCTAATATTTTGTGAATTGTTTGAGTGAAAAAAACTGTATTTATTTGAAATAAGATCATTTGTAACATTATCAATGTCTTTAATGACACATTTGATCAATTTAATGCATTTTTTTAACAATGTATGCATCTGCTTATTTGATTGAACTGGTGTGATCAACTCTTACAGACTGAACATGGGGTGAGATCTGTAATAAATGGAGAATCTCTGCCAGTGTCTGACATAAAATAGATAAAGAGAGTGAAAGGAGTGAGTGACTGCTAGAGAGTGACTGCAGGCAGTGGAAAAGTGAAGACTGATGGTGATGAATGCAGCACACAACTCCAACTGTGATACCAATCACTAGTATGTGTCAGCAGCTCTCTTCAGCCACCGGGCTGACAGCAGCCTCTCATGCTTGTTTCTTCCTGTGTGTGTGTGTGTCTGCACATTGCCTGTGAAAGGGACACTACAGTCTTGACCTACACTATTAAACCACATGAAGTAGTATGTGACATAAAATGCTCTTTGTATGAGATATACTCGAGACCACGCACAACCTTGACTGACAGGCGTGAGCACACATGGGCCACAAGACACGATAAGTATAATAGAAAACACATTCAGAGTCTTAGTCGGTCAATCTTTCAGTCTCACTTTGTATGAACAATATGAGCTTTTCATGAGCAAATATTGAAAGTCACTGAGATGAAAGTAAGCGCAGCTTCGTCTCTTTCTCTACTCGATAAAAGAGCCATTTAAAAGGAAGACGCAACATCGCTCACTGCGGCTGACAGGAGGAAATATTATTTTCTCTTTATGCACCAAATAGGCCAATAAATCGGAGGGATAGATGATTTCATTTTGAAAGCAGTTTGATTGGATGTCCATCAGACGTGATGAAGGTCAGGGCCAGAGGAGCAGTTCTTCTCAGGTTACTCAGATCAGTCTATAGATGACTGTGGTACTGGGCTCCTGATAAGGACAATTAAGGGCTCGTGTTACAATCTCATCTATATGTGGGTATGGTAAAACTGCATTAATGGGAATTCACAGCCACAATCAATACATGACTGATACTAATAGGCCACAGTGCAGTTGCACTCTCACACAGGGCATAGCAGGATCTGACTGAGGGTTGCTGGGAAGACTGATGACTGTGTTGGCTTACTCAGCGGCCCGATTACAAGCAGCACCACCTGTTCTGGCCAAAACCATTACATTTAATATGTAAGGCAGAACGGGAATGGAACAGCAGAGCTTCTACACTTTTTGAGGGATATAGTGTACCATTTAAATATTTGGGGTCAGTAAGAATTTTAAAGAAATATAAATTAGTTATTTTATTTAGTAAGAATAGAATAAATTGATCAAAAATATGAAAAATATTAAGCAGAACTATTTTTTTTTCAACATTGAAAATAAGAGGAAATGTTTCTTGAGCAACCAATCAGCATATTAGAATAATTTTTGAAGGATCATGTGGCACTAAAACTGGAGAAAATGAAGCTGAAAATTCAAAATATGTTGATCCAGGACAAAATATGTTGATTAATTGGCAAAATCACGGTGACCCTGCTTGCTCAATGCTAATCACGGCTACATTTTATGTCATATGAATAGATCTAAATACTTTAAAAACTTCTCACGATTCGTTAATCTTGATAGCTGTAATAGTAAAAATGTATAATAGCTGTACTAAAAGTATTTGAGAGAGTTTCACATGTAATATGTAGCTATTTCATATGCAAGCATGTCAGCCAATCACAGCAGTGGCCAGTTCAACTGAATCCCACAGCAGACACACTCCTTCAATCAGAGGCTAAAATCAGGCTAGGAAAAATGGCTTTTATTTCTAAATTATGACTATTTTTAGACTATTTTTTTGACTATTTCTGGCAACCCAGGAAACATTATAAAATAACCCTATGTCAGGTGACCTTTAAACCCGATTTATCAAATTATCTAAACAGAGAATGCAATGGACACTGGCGTACCCGAGTATTTAAACATTTTCTTTAGTTCATAGATGAGAATGCTGAGAGAATGAAGATATTTAGTACAGTTTGTCAGCACTTTTATAAAAGAACTCCAAAATAATTGATGAGCACGAAGCGGACTCATGGATCATTAAACATATTATTTTTGCATAACACAATTCATAATAGTTTATACTCGGTGCCCTATTTATACACGAGGGCTTAGAGAGCTTGACTTGAAATCAAAAACAAATTTCATGGATGATATTTACAGTAATTTGTTGTTGTGGTCCATTATGATGAAGATACTGATGATCATGATGCTGTTTTGATTAAAATCTGAACAAAAATGTAACAACTTTAACAAATTTACTGTATATAATATATCAAAATAAAAAGCTCATCCGTCAACAGTTTGGCATAAGAAGAAAAGCAGCAACTCAACTTTTAACTATATTCAAACATATATAAAAAAAAAATCCATCCATGTATATCTAATAAGCCATTTTGTGCGTATTAATCCAATTTGTACATGTACTATCAGCATATAAATAGGTTGTATGCACTTTTTTGGACTTAATAAATAAGAATAGGCTGTTTTGGGCTGGACTAAATTAGGTTGAGGTAATAGAAATCAGGCATATGATCTTACCTGTATTTTGATTGGCCATGAAAAGTTGCTGACATAAACATGGAAAGTGATGTTGGGATTTGCAAGGAAGGAGAAAGTCTCACAGGAGAAGCTGTCTCTGTACTCTTTGATGTTAGTCTTGGACACTATGGGGAATTCCTCCCCTGAGATCGTACCCGCTGCAGAGACACAAAACACAGAGTCAGCAAAGTGCACGTCAGCCAACAACAACAACTGCATACAAAATCCTCTGCATAATTAAAAATGACATAAATATTCTGATCAACCCTGAATAACATCTGAATAATGCTATTCTAAGAAGCTGTACTCAAATGCCAACCAATAGTGAAAGTAATAGGGAAAACACCTAGACACTTCTAAGAGCTTCTCAAAGGGTTTGCACAAATTTAAGAGTTAATAGTGAATACATGGTCTATCACAATACAGTAAATCTCCAAGCAGAAATGAACATGAACATCAGTCAGTCTATATTGATGTTTCCCAGATGACCAATACAGAGACTGTTCCATTAAGTTTGACAGCATAAAAAATGATTTCTTTTAGTTAATGGCAATTCATCACAATGCAAAATCTGACTTTTCCATTAACCACTCTTTTGAGCTCAGTGTTTAAATATTACTATAAATAAGTTTTCATGACAATGACACTTACACTCGAACACTATCTGTACTATTCTAGTGACCATTGGGAGTCTGATTTATCTGCGCCTACGGGACGATCTTTAACACATATCTGCTTGTCCAAGAGGTTTATTCAACAGCAACAAAACGAAAATCTATTTCGCTTACGCATTTGCTCTGTGCAAGAGAAATGTCTGTTTATCTTAATTAAAATCAAAAAGCATTTTACGAATGCCTTGACAATCAACTCACATAGGACTCCTATAGCTGTACTCACATAGACTCCAATACCAATGGACTCCTATACATGCTATGTTCAGCCAGAACTATTTTACAAAGAAATTATGTCTTTTGGGACTTCTTTTGTATTTTATTCTGAAATATTACATGAAATACTTTACCTGTTGAGCCTATAGACCACGTTATGTTGATGTTGAAATTGTTAGACGCATTAATTGACATATCGAGATTCTTGTTGGTCTGAAAAACAAACATGAAGACAAAAAAAATTAATAGCTGGTAATAAAGATTTTACAATATTTGTTTTACCATATGTACAATAATGTGGACTGCTTTTTTATTATTTATAAAATAAATAAAATGCGTTACAATATAATGCCACAAAAAATATTTAATTCTCATAATAATTCTTGATTGTTTCAAAATTTCAAACCAAACATCAGGTTATTGGATAACCGAGTTATGCCAAATAGCACTTTTGCATTCATTCATTCATTCAAAAAAAAAAAACAGCTTATTTTAGGAAGCTTTTCATATTGCATTTGTTACGGACACAAAATGTGGAACTTTTTTGGAAACACAAAATAAGTTCAAAATAAAATACAACCTGTTGCAAAGAGATGATGCAAACTCACTGACCTCTTCCGGAGTCGCCATGAAGTTAATAGCTGAGTAATGCTGATCGTCCTCCTGAAGCAGACTAAAGGTGAACTGGTAGTCTATCAGAAGATTATCTATTAAGGTGGGAGAAAAACAAAAACAAAACATGAATTGTATTTAGAATTTATGTCCAAGTGTTTCAGCATAAACATCATGAGAATAACATAAGAAAGTGATAGCTTGGCAAAAATTCTTCATGTTCACGTCATGTTGAAATCACAACATCATGGCAATCACAGCTAATCTTCAAAGTTCAACACAAACTTTCGTTGGGAAAGAGAAGCAGTTGTGTGATAAAGGACTTTTTGACAGCTCACATCTGCACGAGCAACTAAAGGTCACCTTGTCCGATCCAATTTTGAAGACGGCATATGATTAAATAGCAACAGACAGAGGAAGGCTGAGAACTGATTTGATTGTCCAGCGGGTCAAAATTAATATCAACTCTGCTGATGATAGAAAATACTGAACTTTCATTGACATTATTCTGGTCTCTAGTTATCATTTATGACCTTTTATAAATCAACAAAATTTTGTATAAATTTAAAGCACTGAAAGTGCCACTATTATGCTATTTTGAATATTACTTTTCATGTATTGTGTAATACAACTGTTTGCGAATGCAAAAGGTCTGCAATGTCTTAAAGATAAAAGTGCATGACAAACGTTTACGTAACAATGTAACACCTTTGCATAGTGCCAAACAAAGTTCTTCATTGGCTGCCCGTGAACGTCATCTATTTTGACCCGCTGTCCGCCAGATAGAGCATATCACAAGAGCACGCGTCAGAGAGCTTAAAAAGGATTAGTTCACTTTTCAAAAAACTTTTGCTGATAATTTACTCACCCCCATGCCATTCAAGATGTCCATGTCTTTCTTCAGTCGAAAAGAAATTAAGGTTTTTGATGAAAACATTCCAGCATTTTTCTCCATATAATGCACTTCAGTGGGAACCAAATGGTTCAAGGTCCAAAAGACACTTTCAGTACAAACTGCAAACTGTTCAAAGGGCTTTAAACGATTCCAGATGATGAATAAGGGTCTTATCTAGTGAAAAGTTTACATTTTATAAGCTCAAATGGTCGCCTTGCTCTGTTCTGTGACGAATGTTCGTGACTCTCCTGTTCGAACTCGTTCATCAAAATGAACGATTTTTTTTCCGAGTCAATTCGTTCGTTTAAATAACCAAATGACTCGGAAAAAAGATTTGTTCATTTTGATGAACGAGTTCGAACAGGAGAGTCACGAACATGCGTCACAGAACAGAGCAAGTCGAGCATTTGAGCTTATAAAACTTACACTTTGTTATTTATTTATTAAATGAGCGATCGTTTCGCTTGATAAGACCCTTATTCATCGCCTGGAATCGTTTAAAGCCCTTTGAACAGTTTGCAGTTTCTACTGAAAGTGTCTTTTGGACTTTGAACCGTTTGGTTTCCATTGAAGTCCATTATATGGAGAAAAATGCTGGAATGTTTATCAAAAACCTTAGTTTCTTTTCGACTGAAGAAAGAATGACATGGACATCTTGGATGACACGGGGGTGAGTAAATTATCAACAAAAGTTTTTTTTTCAAAAAGTGAACTACTCCTTTAAAGTGATATTGATGGTCTCGGGTCGGGCTGGGTTTGAACACCACGGGCCAGGCCCGGGTTAGAGCTGGAGCAGGGCTCTAACTGAATCTTGAACAAATCGGGGTTTTTTTAGACTCTTTGAGAAATTAGATTATGTACAATGTATATTATGAGAAAATCAAAGTGTTTTTTTTTTAACCTGTAAAATTCTGGCAAAACCTGGCATTCTTTTGCATGTATGTGTGATTAGAGTTCAATTTATTGCAACTGGGCTGTTAATCTAACTCATCATGACCCTGAGCACACATCGTTAACCTTAAACATCAATTTCAAACCTCAAATGAGCAGCTGCAATCTAACAAACAGAGTCTGACTGTCTCTGACCCCTGGCCGATCCAAGAAAAACTTCCAGGCCTTATTCAAAAGATGTTTATCTCTACATATCTGCAAATGACGTAACAGATGCACACTAAACCATAGAAGATTGGGGGATGTTCACAGAAAGCGAGCGAAACTAAAGCATATTAGGTTCAACAAATAGCCGTGTTCATTCCGCAACCACAGAGAGATGGAGAATTAGCGCAGATCAGATCAAAGCGTCCGTCTTGAGCTTATCTCTTCCTCTGACCACTCAGTACCCTCCGTTGTCACAGAAATAGAACGATTATTGCTAGCTTTTCCTCTCCTTGTTTTGCCCCAGGTACACAGCAAAGCTATGTTTATCCCATAAGGCTCTTTGCCAAACTTCAGAGAGGTTTTCTATTCCATGAAGGGGAAAAATAAAAGCAGAAAATCAAAGAGGGAGATCAACAGGCTGTTTTGCGTTATGGGATATAGTACAAGTAGTTATATCTATGGGGCTTGAGGACACTTAAAGCTATATATTGCCCACACTCTTACATTTCCTGCTGTGACGATATTAATACTTTTGAGTGTGCATCTGTGTTCGCTTGCATGACTGCACGTATTTATATGTGTGCATGAGTGAATGCGTTTCAAGGGGTTCACAGCACAATGCAAATATGAAATGAACATAAATAACAATATTCTGTGTAATGTTTTCACTGCTTCAAACATTTTTGCTGTAATTTAGTTATAATAAGCCAATTAATTGCACAAATTTAGCCAGTAAATTAAATTCCCCTTAGAGTGAAATCAGTAAACACTAAATAATGTTGTTATCGAACGAAATTGTATGAAAACACGTGCTACTATTCTATTTCAGAGGAATGAAATTATTAACATATGAGGTTATTAACCTTTCTTGAACTCGAGAATATTTTCACAATCATCTGATAGAATTAAACAAACATAAGAAGCCAAAAGGGGACGTTCCGATTACAACCGACAACAACATCATCATCATCATCGTCGTCTTATGACGTGCTCGGGTTGCGAAATGCACACATTTATTTACAATGCATAATTCAATAAAGCATTACAGGAATCTCAAATAGTCTCATCAAGCCAAAGTGCATTTTCCTCTAAGCATCCAGCAGAACACATTTCATTTCCAAGTTCAGAGACCTGAAATGAAGCCATAACAGAAAGCCATCCCTGACAAACAGGATCTAGGTATTTTATTTAATGTCTTATACCATAAACGTTATCATCCTCAATTCTGGAACACCTTGCTGGCAGTAATGAGAACTGCAGAGAGGTAGGGACATCTGGAGTCATCTTTTGTAGAAACAGGAAAGAAAATGGCACACTGCCTTAAATATTAAGTTCACATGGTCACACAGTCCTTTTGAATGCTAAAGACAAACAAGTATGCATAACAAAAGCACATGATTTAGCTAACCATATTATATGTTCATGTTTACAAATTTAGAAATAATGATATAGCTAAACGTTTTTTGATCATGTGTATTAAAAGGCATCGTCTAAATTAAACTCAGAGTGCATGTCTGGAACAGCTACAACTTACTGTGTATGTATGACATAACATTTCTGTTTGGTAAACCGCTTGAATTCACTTTGCTTGAATATTATCTTTGAGGTGTGACAAAAAAAAATCTGAATATAATAATCAACCGGCATTTCCACTATGCAAGATTAACACTCGACAGTTTGCAGTACGGTGACATTTGAAAGCAGTGCACTTATATAAAGAGGCATAAAGACATAATCTATTGGCATTAGAGGTTTTGGATCGCTTAGATAATAGCTTTATCATCTTAATGACAATTTCTTCTCCATAACATTGGCATGGCAAAAATGAAATGAAAGTAAAGAACATTCCAATTCATCCTCATGCACTTTAACATGGTCTCGATTGAAGAAGATATCTGTATCTAAGGCTTAAAGCCAATACATCTTAAGAAAATAAGATGGGCTTTAGATGTCCAAATAAAAAGTGACTTTGTAGGCAAACACAAAGCAGCTTGACTAAAAGTGTTTAGCTGTCAAGGCAGAATGCCTGATTAGTTTTTGATGAGGGTGTCTGGGACACTCATCTGAGTATGTCTGAAACAGTAGTTATGGCTTTGATTCAGCCAGTGGAGAGTTGGCTGTAAATCAGAATGTGATGTATAAATATAATTTTTGGATCAATGTTAAGAGAATCAAAGCTGTCTTTAAGTGAAAGTAAACTACGTTTGAAAAGTTTGGGGTAGATACGATTTTTTAATGTTTTGAGTATTTTACAGTATGCTCACCAAGGCTGCATTATTTGAACAAAAATATAATAAAAACAGAAATATTGAGAAATATGATCTAATATTAGAATTCAAAATAACTGTTTTCTTTTTAATAGATTTTAAAGTTTAATTTATCCCTGTGATGTGAAAGCTGAATTTTCAGCAGCCATTACTCTTCAGTGTCACATGATCTTTCATAGAAATCAGTCTAATATGCTCAAGAAACACTTCATATTATTATTAATGTTGAAAAAAGCTTGTTGAACAGTCTTGTCAGGATTTTTTGATGAATCAAAAGTTCAAAAAACAGCATTAATCTGAAACAAAAATCTTTAATCTTTCAACTTTTGATATATTCAATGCATCCTTACCCATTTTTTTTTTCTGATCCCAAACATTAGTGATCATGATAGCAGTACTACTACTGCAAACATTAAATATACATAATCTGCCTATTTAAACGCTAAATGGAAAACTTAATGCACAAAAATATAGTACACTAACCAAAATATTAAACTTTTAATATACAGTATGTTGCGCTTACTCATAGTGTGTAAACAAGTGAAAACAAAATAGTACATAAAAACTTTTCAGAGCTCTTTTTTTTCCCTATTTTGAGCCAGATATGCCGGAACCACAGTGATTTGTTGCCTGGATCATGGAACCAGAGAGCTGTAGAATCGAGAACAGCTGTAAACGGAACAATCCAATTTGTGAAATAATAGTTTAGTGTGATTTGTGAACCATTTCAATAGGTTCACCGAAAAGAATTCGCTTAAAAGAATGATTTGCTCATAAACTGGACACCACGATCACATTTCAGAGCAGGTCTCGATTTTCTAATTTCAAAATAACAAGGATTTATATGTTTTATGAAAAGTAATGGAGCAAAAATGACAATGTTAATAACAATGTAGTGCTCTGAGGCAAAGCTAAAAGTAACCCGCCCCAAAAAAAACCTTGAGTCACCATTGGTACAGCATGGTAAATATGATCTCTAGTCTGATGAAGACAACAGTTTGAAGGCAGTTTTGACTGTATAACATCCGTCATGTATATGGCAGTTGAAACATGACCCTGATCACACTGGAGGTTATACTGTAATAAACATCTATCCATTATGATAGTGAAGGAGACATTCAATTACAGTTACGGTGACTTGCATTTATCGTCATCATTAGTATAATCATGTTTGATGGCCCTTGATTTTTCTCCTTGTGATAACAGACATTAGTGTGTTCAAGGCTGGTTGAATTAGCCTGTTACAAAGACGAAGCGTAAACATCAATCCCACTCAGCGGGTAAATGTCACTGACGTTCCCTTAGGGAGTCAGACTTGTCTCGCTCCAACTAGCCTCTCTTCATGGCTTTAATTGGTCAAATTAGCGAGCGTGTCCGCCCCACGTATTGCGAAGCTGGACCACTGAAGCATTGCACACGTGTGATGAAATCCACACTGACAGAGTGAAGGGAACAGTGCTAGTAAGAGATAACAGCTGGATGCTGGGAACGTGAGGTGCTGCTTGTGGTTGCTGTGTGTGTGTTTATACGTGTTTGTCTGTGAGAGAGTTTGCAGGCCAGCAGCAGTGTACACTTTAGCGTTTAGTACACCATACAAGGAGCACGAAATGGAAAAGAACAGTTGCTTTAATCTGAACTCGAGTGTAATATAATCATAGATAGCACAAAGGTTATTTTAACTAACCATGCCTGACATCAGATGCCTTAAACCACGTGATGTGTGTTTATGTGCATTTGGGAATGCAACGTGCACCAGGTTCACTTTAATTTCCAATATGTTTGTGGACATATATTCCACCAAACTAAAAGCTCAAGGTTTGATACAATAGGTTTAAAGGGTTAGTTCGGTATTTCACACTTAAAGCCCTGTTTTAAGATCGTTTCTGATGAATTAGGATGGTTAAGATTGAAATTTGGACAAATGCTGTTGTCCTGAGAATTTTGGGTTTCTGTGTTAGCAGAATTTATCGTAGCTTTTGTACCAAGTCAAGTCAATGGAGTCGGACAAAAAAAGTTTGTCTGATAAAAAAAAAGTTGGGAACCCGTCTTATGGTTCGCAAATTCAGACATAGCTCAATTCCAGTGGCTACAAGGAATAGTTCATTTTATTAATGAAAATTCAAAATCAAAACTTAGTGTGTGACCATGGTATGAGAAACACCTAAAGGAGATCTGGTGAAACTGACTGTTTACCATTCAAAATTAATAAATAAATGCACTGGCTACATTGGCTGTGAGTAACCATAGCAACAGGCAGTCAAAGTATCCGTTTACAACTAATTTTTTTATTTTTTTATTCAAAATAAAAAATAAAATAACTATGCCTGTGTGTTTTAATTAAAAAACGCCCATGTGTAACGCCCATGGCTTAGACAAGCCCAACTTACTGTACATGAAAAAATAATAATAATAATAATAATAATACATTAACTTTCTGGCTCATCAGTTAGCTAAACTGAATGGTTAAATGGTTGAAATCAAAACTTAGTGGTTCATAAATAACTCAATAAAACAACAAGCATAACAAACAAGCAATTTCCAAACCTGTTTGACTGACTTTCTTTTGTGAAACTCAAAAGATTACTTTTGTTGTTCGTGTATTATTGTTTTTCTCCATGAAAATCAACAGTGTCCAATCTTGTTTTGCACCCACTTTCATTGTAAAGACAAAAATGGTGTAAATGATTTTCCCAAATTATCTTCTTGATGCATGATGGCAAACAAATGATGAGAGCATTTTTATGATTTGGGTGAACTATAGAATTTACGGTCACGTGTATTTATTGGCATTTTCCACCAGCATATCCCATCAGAATCTGCGTTGTGCGTGTTTCATTTCAGCTGGAAAGAGCGAGGATAATGGAAGGATTTGTTGACCACAGGAGGATATGATGCAGAGCACTATCAATCATGAAGTGATATAACAGTATTGTGCTGCAGAGACTGGAGGGGAGGTCAATTATAAATAATGCATTGGTAATAAATCCTCCTATATACAGGGAATGAGAGTCTGATCTGCTCATAAAAAGCCTGGCAAACGTGCTTTTGACACACAGTCATCTCCTATGTGTTGATTAATCAAAATACTGAGAACCTTTCTGCCATAAGACCTTTTCAAGTTCCTAACTGAAACCTTTGTAGTGTAATAGATAACACAAATGTCTGAGTAAACCTCAGATGTCCAAAGAAAAGTCACACAAATTGAAGAACAGAATGGATCACCTACAGACGATGCTGCCTGGATGTGCTCTGCTTATCTGAGACTGTAATCAAATGCTTAGTTTTAAAAACATTCATTGGTGGCATTGGAGGGCTGTTTACATAAGCCTGGTTTGGTTTGTCAAATCTGGACTGGTCTGGTGGCATTTCTGGGAAAGTGGAAGTGACAAAAGCAATCGTTTAAAACAGGCTTTTAAAAAGATTTTTCCAGCTGTCTTGAGAAATTTGTGTAGACGCGGTCATTTTCAGGAGAACCCATGTCAGTTGTTCCTGAAGATGATTGTTCTGTGGCCGTGTGATTTTCTTTTCGTTTTCCTATTTTGTGCTCGGGTGAGGAAGCTTATGACCACTCTGTGCTTGTGTCAATCGTGACAACTGGACATATACTGGAGCTGTAAGGCTGCCATCTAGTGCTCTGAATCTAAAATAAAACTACACAGCTTGTGTGAAAGACAGAGATGAGAATGTTAAACATGGAGAGTTAGAGATACAAAGCACATCCAGCTTTGACACAAACATTAGGGATTATTGCAAATTGTTTGCTTGTAATCCTATAATGATTCATATATGTTTGAATTGTGCTGTGGCTCAGGCTCACAACATGTAAGAGTAACAGTGCTCAAGGGATTTGGGTTTGAATTCCTATAAGTAAAAAGAAAAAAGAAAAAGATAAAATACCATACATTACAATAAACTATGCAAAAAAGAGATGGTGCATAATACTTTTGAATCTGATGCACATTCTGAACGTGCATTAATAGCACTTGCCAAAAGTCTAATATATGCTTTCATTATTAAATAAAAATAAAATGAAATAAAATGTTTACCCAATTAAAACACAAAAGGAAACATTTTATTATTTATATCTAACATGATATTTACATAAGGAATGTATTATCATTATGCTTAAAGCTTAGCTTCTAAAAACAAGATGGTGGATGTTGATTTCAGTATCTGCAAGTGAAGTCCCACCCACTGATCTGTAATAGGCTTGTAGGGTGAGTGGGTCCCACCCCCTTGGATAATGTGAAGTTTGTAGTCTCTACACTTTTCAATGAAATGTGACTTCCTGCTTATTATGACGCAAAATGACGATTTTTACATCATAATAAGCAGGAAGTGAAACACTTAAATCCTTATTTCTCCCATCTCAGGGGAAAATAAGGGAATAAAACATGACCATTCAAAAAAATGACTGGGTTTCTAAAGATACAAAGCTTAATGCAAAAGGGTGAAGTGTCCCTTCAAGAACATGCAAGGCTTTGCTTCCAAAAACATATTCACTTTTACATTTGCAACATGAAGTTAAAATCTTTGTTCAAAAGTAAAAAGCTTTTTAGAGAGAGAGAAAGAGACACAAAGAGAGAGAGAGACCAATCAGAAAGTCAGCCCAGTCAAAAACAAAGGAAGTTGGGCGTAAACACTTGTACTGCATTTTCATGCAGCAGATGAAAGAGGAATGAGACCTGACTGTTTGCCCGCTGAACTCTCTGACCTTCAGATATCTGTTTGAGACACTTTAAATCAGAAACAGTGATTGTGGCTCAAGGACATGTTGGGTCGCTTCTGCTTCTATAAAAATGGAACTGAAGCCCAAACAGGTGGGATAATAACAGATTAATGTATGAGGACGAATTGTTTTATCCTATTTACAGTGATGTAATGAGACTCTCTCGATGTGGTGAGAGACTCACTCATATATGAACTAATTTTAACCAAAGTCCTCTCTCTAGATGATTCTCCTCAAAGAGTTCATCCCAATCATTTTCCATTAGCAAGCCAACATCATCAACAGAACATCTCTTTGCATTTAGCGACACGGCCCACAAAGAAGAGTCAATCACAAATAACACACACATACAGTGTACAAATCCACATAAAGAAACAGCAGACAGAAGCCTGGCTGAACAACAAAATTGATGTTGTACTGCTAAGAATAGATGATTGTTTGTGTGATGGAGTCATTATCGGGCTTATGACGACGACTAGCTGAAGCGTTCTAAGACTGAACACACTTACAGACTGATAAGAATAAAATAAAAAAAATTAAGGACATTAGGTTTTCTAAGACACTTTGTTACACTTTGAATCAACTCTAATGATTGTTAAAAAATGTGTCATTTTGGGTAACATGAATAAAAAGTGATCAAATGCACAGTATACTAACATTATACATCAGCCTTAAAATATCAAAATATAATTATTAGCCATATCAGCCATCCCTATGTGTGTGTGAAAGAGACAGAGTGAGGGTTACTTACAGTAACATGTTCCTCTAAGTGGGTTTCCAAGGTAGCGATTTTCGGAATCACATCTGCAGAAAATTAATAGAAAGAACATTTTGTTTACAGATATGACACGCTAACAAACAAACTAGATTTGGGAACTAGTTTTCACCCATCAACAGAGGAAGTCTTCATCAAAAAGTTAAGCTTCAATCATTATTTACTATAGGTATGCAACACAACACATGACAATAGTTATTAACTATTTCTTTATAAATGCGTTTTAAAATGCGGTCATAATGAAAACATTTATAATAAATACCACTAGATAGATTCAAAAGTTTTAGGTCAGCAAGATTTTTGAAAAATGTTTTATGTAAATGAAATAAATATAAGAAAATAAAATGCAATAATTTAAAAAATAAATGTAATTGTGTTTTGAAAAAAAAAACAGAAAACAATATTAATGTTTTAACTGTATTTCTGATCAAATAAATGAAGCCGTGTTGAGTATAAGATACTTTTTACGAACAGAGAAAAAAAAACGTGAGAGTGTTGCTGGTTTGTGGGACCATAAATGTCAGTGTGGTTGTATTTTTATGGTGATTTCTCCCTATGCTGCAGGTAATGTACTCTTAGCCATGTTTGAGATGATTATAGTGGACGGGCCGTCAGGTGCCCCACTCCTCTGGGCCTGATGAGGAGGATGAGACCACATTTCTGATCAATCTACACTGACAAACCAAACAAAACCCTTTACTCTGTGCCAAAAGCAAAACTATCACACACTCTCTTAGGATCAGAGAGATGAGTGAAACCCTGTGTGAGTGGAATAGCACAAATCATTTTTTGTTTCTGTGCATACAAGAAACATGCATCCATTTAAACAGAGGATTACAGTAATGCCTAAGCCTAAAATTGTAGAAAAGAAAATGGGGAAGTTCTTGTTTCATTGGCAAAGGTGTAGTAGATACGATTTTGAGAAGCACAATTATTTTTAATGACCATTCTTGATATCCATTTATTCAGTCTGGACTGAAAAAGACAGCTGTACCAACTCTAAATAAGAGGACGACAGAGAAAAAGAGGGTGCAAGTGCGAGAGCGAGAGAGAGAGAACAACACAGTGGCATGTCTGGTTTAGTTTAAAGCAAACACTCATTACTGGCATGTAAACACTGAGTGTTTATTATTCACCTCATGCTACAGAAACAGTGAGTTCATGTGTGTGGATTTAGAACTCAATAAACACACAGATGGATGGACGGACCAGCAGGGCAAACACGCATGATTAATCAGCAAATTGCCCTTTGAAGTGAAGAAGTGGCTAAGTGCCTGAGAAAGAGGCTTGCATCAAAATCATACAAGGAAGGAAAGGAAAGGCTGCATTTTTTATTATAAACAACGGTATAAACAGTAATATTGTGAAATGTATTACAATTTAAAATAACTGTGATCGCAAAACTGACTTTGCAGCAGCCATTACTTCAGTCTTCAGTCACATGATCAAGTCATATGATGATATGAAGAGAAAGAAACATGTCTTAATATTATTAATGCTGAAAACAGTTGTGCTGCTTAACCGTTTTGTAGAAAACCGTGATTTTTTTTTTCTGGATTTTTTGATGAAAATAAAGTTCAGCATTTATTTTATTTTATAAGATTATGAATGTCTTTACTGACACTTGATCAATTTAATGCATCATTATTTATATATATATATATATATATATTATACTGACCCCAAGCTTTCAAATGGGAGTGTAGATATGACTTAACATGTGTAGTGTCTTGACCAATTAGACACACACAAATTAATCATTATGTTTAATGAAGAATCCAACAAACTCACTTCCAACACTTTAACCTGGTTAAAACCATACCATTCTCAGTTGTAACTGAGTTATGGTCTGGCAAAGCGTCATAGACAAATCATTTCCAGAGGGGCGTCACCAACGGACATTGCGGGTAGACCTAAAACCAATCAGGGGTGCATTTCTCGAAAGCATTGATAGCCAACTATGGTCGCAAGTTCCTTCATTATCAGCATAGTTCAACGAGTCTGTGTTTCTCAAAACAACCGTTCGAACGAACATTTGCAAACAGCGTCGCAAAGTTGTGCGGTTTGAACGACAGCTCTCGACCTGTGGTTAGAGGCATCGTTTCTATATTATATCACATTTGGACGTAATAAATCCTTATCTTGAGCAAAATAATCAAGCTGACATTCAGTACTAGCGGTGCCTTTTATTTAGAATACATACAAATGTCATTTACGTCTTTTAGTTGGTCAAAAGATTTAAAGTACGGTGTTTGAAGAGTGCGCATGTGCGAACGTGCTCTACTATGTAAGAACGAGCCAAATATTGAGTCTGGTAATAAAGCAAAATAACTGAGAACAATTTAAAAATAGTCCTCAGATGACATGTCTGTAATTTATATAAAACAATCTAGCGTTAATTGGATCTCAAACACTTTCATTAAAAGTAGTTATTCCACAACATGCGAAACCAACGTGGTTGAACGATACTTTGCGACAATGGGTTTCGGGAAACAGTCGTGATTAGCTAGTTGATTTCTCCAACGATGCATCGTACTATGGTAGTGAAGCAACGAACTACATCGTTGTATGGGAAACGATGAAGGAGATGACGTATGCAGAGCGGCGGCCGGCGGAGAAACATCTCTGAGTGCTGTTCTTAGCTCGGTTTTTAACAAAGGAAACGTTCAAATCGCTTAAAACAGACGCGATAGCTGATTCGAACGAGTGATGTTCGACGGCGGCATCCATCTTTGTAATGTAGGCTACAAAATCTGCTTCAAAATCCCAGTGCTGTCGTCACCGTGTAAAGCCCGCCCCAAAGTTTCTGATTGGTGCCTCGATTTCGAAGGATTTTGGAAATGGGCTTGAATGAGCTCTTTGCCAGACTAACTGTCAGAGCGAATCTACATTTGCCGGAAGTTGTCTGGGTTTTCCCAGGCTACCAACACTTCCTACGCTAAACATTTTTTAGAGATAAAACTCTTTACATTAAATTATCACAAAAACAAATGGTACCAATGTGTAATTAGACCAAAGGTTCATTTTGCGCCGGTGTTCTCCTTTAAGGGATAAGATTATTAACTACAGGGAGACTATAGTATATATAAGTATATATTTTATAGTTAAGACAACATGTGTTAAAGCAATTTTGTAGTATTTCAAATCAGGCACCGAAAAAAGCACCCTCCCCTTCTGCAGGGGAGGGTGTAGAATCGTGTATTACACCACCTCAGGATATAAACATGCATATAAAGGGCAAAAATGGAGATTAAAAAAAAAAAAACGAAGAAGAAAAAGAAACCTACAGGGCTCCAATAATATAATATAATTCCAGAGGGATATTTTTAATGCCGAGTGTTCACCAAGCACAGTGGGACAACCATAGACACTGTGCTACGCTTAACAAAACATTTCATTATAGTTCAAATATTTCTAATTCTCTTCAACTTATGCTTGCTTTGAAAACTTCTCCTTGGTTTTACACTGCAGTGAAGCATATAATACCCCACTGTTGAGGCTGTTTTCCTGTATTTTTATTTCATAAGAAAATAAAAACCCTAATTGTCTCCATTACTTTCGGGGGTCCTGCACCAGCCAGCTTAACAATTCCATTGAGATGAATTGGAATGCTAAGAGATAGCTCAGCTTTCTCCAGGTATGATTGACCTTTCTGCTGTTGAATGACAGGAGATTACAGCAAGTGCACCCAGTCCAGCACAACATGAGGTCCAAAAAAAGTTTGAGGGGAAAGACATAACAAGACAGGGACTGAGAGAACAAATAAAGGGATGGAGAATGAAAACAGCAGGTGTCAGACAGTGGGCATGCCCTCTAGATATCTGTCTAGTCCTGCTCTCTTAGTTTGAAAATAAAGCAGAGAAACAGGTGAGAGAGATGAGGGGAAGAGTGGTACACCAACTGGCCTGTGTTGATCCTTCTAGCCACACGGTAACAGAGCCTCACCCTGACTAAATAAACAGAATGTGTGTGGCGCCTGCTCGCAGGAGACTGAATTAGCAGATAAATCCTCGGAGTGCCACATTTCACACTGAGACAGCTCTGTGTGTGCGTGTCTCACAAAAGCATACGCAATTGTTGCTCGCAGGGTTTAAACGTTCTCGCTTGAGTACTCCTCAGGAGGGCCTGTCTAATTAAATAGTGGCTTCCTCGTGGATCGCAAGCACAAACAACACACAACACTCGACATTATAAAAGGGGATAATAAATTGAAATTAAACAAACATTTACAAGATGAGCGTAGATGTGGTGAATAGGAAAATATGCTGCTGCTTAGCTACTATATATAAAACACCAAACATTACACTTTATTAAACATGATAATAAACAGACGAGTTACATGTATAAGCTAAGTCTGAAAGGATGGATGGATAGACCTTATTCAGAGCAGCGCCATGACAGGTATGAAAGTGAGGCTGTGAGGGATAGACTTACAGTGTTTCCAATGGCATCCGCTCTAAAAAGCTGAATAAAGCGGCTAGATTACTTATAATTTTCCACAGCTTACATTGTCGGGAGTTTTTTGTAAACTGACATTTCTTTGAAAGATATTTTTCCAGTGTTTCATGAGCAGAACAATCCGAAAACACATTAAATAACAGTACAGCCCATTGAAGAGATGCAAGTCTATCCCTCACAGCCTCGCTTTCATTCTCATTAAAAATCAAAGATGGCGCTGCCGTGAATAAGGCGTATGGATAGAGTTCATAACAGTTCAATAAACAAGATGTCAATAATGAGTAACTTCACATTTTATTGTTTTTGTTCTACCAGTGAAAATCTTTTGAAATGATGCTAAAGCTGAAACAAAACATTGATGTTTTCCTGAAGGAATAAGAGGTTTCAAACAAATCTTTCGAGTGATGTTGATATCGAATGTTTTTAAATGAATCATTTGAATGTATGATTCAAATGACTCACTCAAAAAGACGGTGATTTGTTGCCAGCTACTGAAGTAACAAACCAGCAGAAAGAGAGACTGATAAGTCCACATAACCACAATGACAAATACAGTCTTATGACAGTATTT